CCCACACACACACAAACATTTTTAATCCCTGTTATAAGCATGGTCTTAGCTGAAATCAGACGTTTGTTATAATCAACCCTCTTCCCCCCTCCACTGTATGCAATAAACCAAGCTGGGAAAAATTTGCAGCCTCTTCTTCATCCCTCAGTAAAACAACCCACCAAGAATGAGCAGCAGAACGAAAAAAACCAGTCTTAATTCTGTATGTTTGTTTTGCTCGCCTCCAATTCTGAAGCACTGAAGGAGATTAAACCCACCGCGCCRGAGGAGATAAGGCCCCCGGAGTCCTCTATCAGGACACCGGTTGAACATCCAGACTGGACTTGGTAATGAGGTTTGAACACCAGTGAGGGGAGGGGCCTTTTTAATATTTCCTCCACCGTCTCCACTGCAGTGTGAGAAAAAAATAAAACATTGAAGTCATTCCCCAGTAAATGATTCAGTCAGTGCGGAGTTACTCCTGTGAGGAACGTGATTTTGTTTCGATTCCAAGGGCGCCACCAAGGGGAGGCGTGGCAGCTAGGGTAGTAGCCACTTCTGAAAGTTAGTTTGTCTTTACATTGCCATTGTGTTTGCTTGTTTGTTTTTTCAAATGTGTAGATTAGGATTTACTCTAAAATCGTACTCAGTTTGGTCTGTCACAAAACCAAGTCTGGCTGGAACCGATTAGTTTTACAACTTTTAGGCCAAAAAATTAAAACAATAAAAAACAGGAGTGCAGCTCTAACCCCAAGACCAGGAGGCACCACAAGGAAGGGGGCCGCACCTATAAAATTTGGTGCCCCCCCCCAAAAAAAAAAAAAAATTCTACAGGGTCCCTTGTTCGCTCATCCTCTAAATTTTCAAATACTGTTGAAAGAATAAAATTTAATTCTGTTATTTTCAAGGGCAATAAAGTCAGAAAACTTAACTTGTTGGTAATATTGCAACAATATGCAGAGCTATAGTTATATAACAAGCATTTAATTTCTTGACCCAACAAATAAAGGGATGTCTTTCAATGTTGGGTTTACCTGCAGTCCTCTTTTTTCTTTTTGTTGCATTTCAAACATTTTTTATGCAAGATACAGGGTTGCCAGAAGATGAAATATCGTACTGTTGCTTCAAAGTTTTTTGGGTTTTGACTAGGGCTGCCATAAACAATTATTTTTATAGTCAACTGATCACCGATTATTTATTCGATTAGTCGACTAATCGGATCATACGTTAATTGAATATAAAACACACAGCTTATCACGTCAGAATGCAGCTGCTATTATATAACCATGGTTAGATTTTAGCTATATGCTAACTAAAAATAATGGCTGTGGAAGGTGTCAAAGCAGTTTGGAGAAAAACAAAGTAAAAAACAAAACAAAAAAACGACTAATCGACGATTAAATTAGTCTTTGACTATTTTAATAGTTGATTAGTCCCTGACTGGTCGACAAATCATGGCAGCCCTAGTTTTGATTCTACCTAAAATGTTCACTGAGTGTGCAGCAGCTTGTTGGACAATAAGGTTGAGAAACATCCTCAACCAGCAACTCTAGCAAATGTGGCTCCATTTAAAGTGAAGTAAACAGAATTTAATGATACGAGAAACATTATTTCAATAAAAAATTATTCAACCAAAAAAGGAAAAGTTCCTTACTGTTTGTGCTATGTTTGTTTACAAACAACCTTTTGTTTATGTTCTTTTAGTTGCATTTAGATGAGGTTTATGAATCAAAAACACTCGGTTAGGTTTAGGAATTGAAACAGATGGTTGAAAAATGTTCCTGTAACCAAGCAGCCAATTTATGTCCATTTGACTTATTTAAACTGCAACTACAAACAACTGATAGATGGTTCAGTGTACTTTCTCTCCTGTCTGTTTAAAAAAATTAAAAGAAAGAAAAGAATTGGGGACAGTCCAAAATAATTTATTTAATTGTTCATTATGAAGTCCATTTGTTGTATGAGGTAGTGAGGCACCCATTACAGTAATGCTTGTGGACTCATGAGAGGTTGGGTCAGGTTGGGTTAGATAAGGTCCAGCTCATGTGGAACAACATGTGGATCTGTACCTTGACTCCGTCGGACTCTCCTCCCCCCCAGATGATTCGAAGTGGCACTTTGCTGATCTCACTCTGTCCTCCTGAGCTCATGTGGGTTATTGTGAAGGATGAAATGAAGAAAAGGTTTTCAGAGGTCCCATCGCAAAACAAAATTAAGATCGAGACCGTAAGATTTGTTTCCTCAGAGCAGCCATACACGCTGATAGCAGTGAGCCATCCCAGGAGATCCTAATATGAAACCAGTTTCTACAACACTGCATGTTTTGAAAGAAAAACTAAATTTGCATCTTGTTTCCCTCTGGATGTTTATGCAGTGTTATAGGGCCTGTCACTGCATGATTGCGGTAATCAGATCAAACAATTTGACGCTTGTGAAGCAACCAGGGAAGGCAGGAAAAGAAAGAGAARAGTCTATTTTATTAACGGTCCGGAGATCCTTCAAACTGCTTGTGTACTTCTKTATTTTTAATGAGGGAAAACTCATCACTTCAGCCCACAATCAAATGCTCCACGGACCTTCAGGTTGGACGGCAYAGTTTATATTTCAGTATTTCCTGAACCGTGTAGCAGTGGGACTGGTCTGGAACGTACTGTTTTTCTTCTCTGGCTTCGAGAACTTGTTTTGGCAAAAGACTGGGAAAAGTTACAGAGTATGAAGGAGAGTGGCTGTTTGAAAGAAGGGCTCTAGAGGGAACGGAAATCAACCCACCTGCTGCCCCTGGGTTAAAATATTCTTWTTTGTCTTTTAACTGAGGCCTTGTGTGTCGTCTTGACCCAAGGGAAGCAGGAGGGTTACATTTCTTAACTTCTGACTTGAGGAAACGGCTTCAATGATTTCTCAAAATGCCTCCTTGTTTYATAATTGGAACCAGTGTCACGTAGGAGAGCCATCTCCTCGGGGACCGTTGTATCGAGTTACACATTCAACCAAGGTGTTTGCCTCTTCAATCTCATRAATTACTTTGTAAACCACAGCAGCAAAGAGGCTCGTGTAATTCCATAGAAAACAAAGTGCCTTCCAGGCTCCTAATTAGACTCTTCTCCACAACATAGACCCCGTAAAGTTCACAGAGGAGAAATCAATCAAACTTCACAGCTCTTGCACTTCAGTTGTGTTAAAGACTCAATAAGCTTCATCATCTTTGGGAATTAATGCATTTTCAAGCACGTAAATAAGAATAGAGTATTTAAACTGAATCAATAGATTCCTCTGTGTGGACCTGAGCTTGTTTAGAAAGGATTAAAGAGAAATATAATCCCAGACGGACAGGACTGAAGTTGACCTAACAGGTTCAAACCACATGGGTTCTTACTGGCAAGTTTTCTTCTTTCACTTCRTTCAAGTATGTTTGGTTTGGATTGTTAAGTCACTGCTCTTTGACCAGTAGTTTGGAGGAACAGCTTATTGGTATGTGATGTTGAAACTGACAAGCTAACAGCTAGTTCTTGTTAAATCAGGACCAAAGTGGATCTCTACCGTCTTAAAACAACCCAAAAGTTTTAAGCTCTTCATATTAGTTCATAAACATTTATATCATGGTTATTACCAGAGATCTCTACAGTTAATTACAGAAAATGTCAGTGACACTTATAGCACATCTACTGCAAAATGAAAAACATCAGAATATTACAAAACGTGTTTTTAAAAAACAAAGTCATTGTTTACAAAGTATTTCAAAGAGCTCTAGTATCACCAAGTAAATTAGTATTTATTTTTGTTGTTAATTGAACCTATAGGAAGATCTGAACTATCACTTAATGTAACTAATGCAATTAGATTTTACTAAAATATCTGTAATAAAATCTGTTT